ATGACAGTGCTGCTGTCCTCCACTCTGGCTCAATGTAAGTCTGCAGCATCTCACAGCTTTTATCAGGACTTTGTCAGTATCTTAGATTTTGATTCATTAAGATTATGGACCCAATTGTGAGATTGAGATGTGAATACAGCTTTTTTGTGTGCATTTTTCATGTATATATTCAGAGTGGCTGTATATATTTTGTATGTAGTCTGTATATACATTTTCTGTTCTTCATATCTCTCCAGATAGCAATAGACCAGAGGAGTGCTGTTTTACATACTTTCCTGGAAAACTGAAGATGGAGCTGGTAGCTGGATATGTAGAGACCAGAGGGGACTGCAGTAAACCTGGAATTATGTAAATATTTACTCTTCTCGTGTATTGTTTTGAACTTGCATTGTGATGTAAAGTCTGTTCTGTGCAAAATGTCGACAACAAAACTCATTTTTAATCCAGGAAATTGTACACATGGAGATACATGTGACATTTTTTTAAAATAGATTTTACACCAGAAGCGGCACTGAAGTGTGTGTCGATCCCAAAGAGGAATGGGTTCAGGAAATAAAGAAGAAGCTGGATCACCCCCCCCATCAGAAGAAGCCCCCCCATCAGTAATGCTTTCTGCCTGCCTGGCAAAACATGAAGAATGAATTTTATTACATTTCAGCTTATACTTCCGTTCTCCTGTAACATTATTTCCTGTCATCTCCCAAATCATATAGACTTTTAGTGCATTTTATGCTGTATTATTTTCAGACTTTCATTAAGAAAGTTACATTTGAACTGCACTTAAATTACTTTATATTCATGTAACTGATTAAAGACTATTGAAAGGTTAAGGTTGCTGATTCAGGGTTATTATTTAAATCATTTAATTTACAGAACAACATTTATCTGGTGGTGAAACACAATGAGAGAAACATTCAATAAAATAATCAATATATATATCTGGGGTGCAGGGGAGCTGTCAGAACAACAGCCCCATCACTGCTCCAGCCATCTAATCTGTACTCCTCACACACTCAACAACCTGTACAATTTCTAGAAGTACTACATGGTTCAGCTGGAAATGTGAAAGCCAGTACATGTATTACCTGAATGCTGAGTCCTACGTATGGCATGTAACTCTGAAACTACACTTATTCATTTATTGCGCATTCCATTTACATACCAACTCGCAGAATCTTTCATCACCACTTTACGTCACCTGTAATTCTTTGTGCATGTATTAAAATGTTTCTGACATGGTTCATATTTATTCTAAATATGTATATTCTATTTATTTTTCGTTTGTTCATTTTCCATGACATAATATTAAGAACTGTACCAGGTACATTAATGGCACACACAGAGGCCTGGAGGGGATACGGACAATTATTTTATTTTTTTTGGGTACATAGTGTAGCCGAGTTTCAGATGAAATGCTAAATCAAGGTCATGTAATCCCTAAAACCACATTTACTTTTTTGTGCTCTCAATTTAGTATTGGTAATCTCCCGTACATTTTAATGAACAAAATCTATACTTCGTGGTCATTTAGTTACCATTTACATATTTATACATCGGTGGCCTGTACTACGAAGCGGGGTTACTGGCTTATCGGGGTAACTTGTTGGATTTAAGGTACCACAGCTTAAATAGACTAAATATGCGTTCACTTACATTTTACCCAGACTACCTTAAATCCA